GAAAGTTCCGCGAAGCGGTTTATATAGCGGGGCACGCACTCCGAGCGAAAATCGATAATGACGAGGCGAGAAGAGCGGAATAAACGAAGAGTAAGGAAGAGTGAGAGAAGTGGGAAATGAGAGAAAGTAGAGAGGAGGCCGAAGACGCGAGAGACGCACGCACGCACTTGATGTTGGCGACCGGTGCGGATGCACGCGCAAGAGCCGGGAGCCCACAAGAGCCTAGCCGAGGGCACGTCCTCGCACCACGAAGGCCCGCGCAGCACTGACTCTTTCTACTGAGCGCTCTCGACTCTCCGGTCTCCGGTCTCCGGACTCCCGCTAGTCCCGCGACCCGCGATTCGATATGCGTAATGCGAGAGATCGGGGCGAGAGAGGAGACTGAGGACTGAGGACTCAGGACGCGCACACACGGCGCGGGCGGAGCAAATTAATAACTAGGGCTTGCTTTGCCGGATAAACAGCTAATGAGCCGGAAAATCAGAATAATACGGATAACGCGCGTTCTATTGTTCGCAATAAGTGGCTAATGCAATTTGCTAAATGCATACATCCTTGCCGGAAAGATCGACTTACGAGAGGATCCCGTTTATCGTGAAAATCTTGGTTGCGAATGTGTATAGGATGACCTGCGCGAGAGAGATGTGAAATTTAGTTTGAAATACGATTTAGTGTAAAATATTTGGCTTTTAAGAATTTATGATAATGAAATATGTATAACTGCATTTACGGTTCATTCGAATAGATCGGTTTTCATTTGTGTCATTTTATACACCGATAGATTAAATTATCCAACAGTATTTACACTATGATGTGTACATTTCGTAATGATATAATATTGTATTATGAACGTTTGCTCTGTCGCGTCTCTCTCAAAAGCGAACGCTTCAAACGCGGCGACATGTACAAACACAACGAATTAATGTCATCGATCTGAGGCACGTTTGATTTTACAAACGTCGCAAATCGCTGAGAATTTCATGTCGACCAAACGAACCTTAAACAATCGGACGTAATCAAAAAGTAGCAACTCTGATTGACGGGCGGCCGCCCGTCTCATGGTAATTACTAATCACCTTCATTGACAGTGAACGTTCGAGGACAACGCGCCAAGATCAATTGATCGATTATCCGTAATCAGATAAGTTACACTCGAGCAGAATTTCGAAAGGTCAGACGAGTTGCTAGCTCGTACACCTTCGGAACATTTTACTCGCTCTCTTGCTCGCCAAAGCCTTGCGGAAGCAAAGGCTTCGGATCTCAAGCTGAAGGAGATACAGCCGATCGATGTGTGCAACGAAATTTTACAACGTAAATCTATCACCAAATACACTATACCATTCATGAATTCGGGAACGCTTGCAATTTTCTCGCGTTTCATAAAAACTTTTGTATTTCGGTGAAAAGAAATCATATACAAGTTTTTCAATATATACATTTTAAAGAGGAAAAATAGAGTTTCAAACTGACGTTTGAATTTCGTCCTTGATATTTAGTTTTTAAATTACATAAAATTGAAGTTTAATATTTTTTTTAATATTTATGTTATCCCCTTCGAAGAACGCTCGACTTACAATTAGATAGAACATCATCGGATAAAATTTAGCAGACAAGCATTTTAAAGTAGACTCTAAGCTCTAAAATGTTTTATGAAAAAAATTGCTGTGATGCTTTTTTGCAAAAATATCAAATTTTTTATTGCATAAAATTTTATCGTGTAAAAACTTAATTTTTCTAAAATGTTTTTAATTTGAAACTAAAAAATTTACAGAAAAAAAGAGGACAAAGGAATAAAAAATATTTGTTATGTCTTTGATTCCTATAAATTAAAAAAAATTTTTTTAAACCTTTTTTTGACCGTCAATATATTTTATAAAATTAAGTCAAAATTTCATACAGTAAAAAATTCGGTATCTTTGCAAAAGTCAACGTAGCAATTTTTTTCAAGAGATATTTTAAAGCTTAGAAAGTCTATTTTAAAACGATTATTTGTTAAATTGTATTCGATGATGTTTTATCCGTAGAGCTCTTAAAAAAATAACAAAAATATCACATAAAATAAATATTTATTTCTTATAATTTAGGAACATAATATTATGGAGACAAAATTTAAACGCTAGTTTGAAGCTCTATTTTTTTCTCCATAAAATGCATATTTATAAAAACTCTTTTACAATTTCTTTTTATCGAAATGCGTGAAATGCGAAAAAATTGCAAACCTTCTCGAATTTATGATATAAATTTATAGTGTATATATTCGTTATTATATTGTTATTTATGAATAGCTAAAGCTATGATTTCTCAATCATTAGCGTTTATACGACATATACAGATGACTAATTGCTATTTAACAAGATATTTAAGAAATTAGCGAAGTGTATTTGTGAATATGTATAGTGATGTATGTATAGCTTCAATTTATTATAATAAGTATAGATATCGGATTCTTATGTAATTGCATATTTTCTTAGAAAGGAGATTGGAGAAATCAATTAAGAGTAAAAAAGCCTTTGAGAGCCAGTGCTAGATGTTACTGCAATCAAGTTTTATTGTATATAACAATTAAATAAATAATACATTTTAATCCTTACATTTGGATTCTCTCAGTAAATACATTAATGATAAAACTAAAATATATACAAAAATTACAGTTAAATACAATTAGAACATTAGATTAAGTTAAAACTTACAAAGAATATACGTTCGTCTCTTAATGTGAACTGTGGATAACATGTATCTAGATAAAGTCAATTCGTATCCATATGTCAAAATGTCCATTAAATTTAGTTAGGCGTTTGTTTAAAAAACTTTCTTTATCTAAAATTTTAATATCCTCCCAATCGAAACTGTGTGCAAAATCTAGTCTACGTGCTGTAATTATCAAGTGTTGTGATGTTTTCCAATTATTGCAATATAATTGCTATGTTCCTTGAGATTCTTATCTTTAATATTCTGCTAGTTTGACTCATATAAGATTGGAAAGTAAGATCAAAATAGAAATTTGTCTTATTGAAAAAGTATTCTAAATATACATATTTATATGTGCATATTGTGCGTATTTGCATATTTTGTATATATATTCATATTTTGTCTGCATAAAAAAAATCCAATGTCTAATAATAATATTACAATACATTATATCATTATACAGGATATTCCCGAGTTAAATTCGCGCCAAACTTAAAATATGAATTTATATGACGTCAAAACAAACAAAATTTTCCTTTGGAAATTAGCCCGTAAACGTTTCGTACATCGTATTGTAATTATTACATTAGTAAACTACAGCGTGATCGCGGTTCATAGATCAAATTCATGGAACTATAAATTAACATACGATGATAATTTAATAATCTTTTATTAGCTTGTGCAGCGCACTAAATTTTACTTCTTAGTTTATATTAGTATTTGTAACTTGAATATATTTCTATTTAGCGCGGGCATACGTCAAACACGTGCTACATTGCTACGTAATTCGTTACATTTACGCGCGTCCGTTCGTTTCGTCGGGAGATGGTTCGTCGAGTGCCAAGGGCTTAATTTGTGCGGAACGAGAGATTAATCTAGCGCTTTAAAACGATTTTGATACGCGTGACCGTTTTCGCCTGTCCCCGCGAGGATAAATCGAATACGGCATTCTAGGGACGTACGTGCGATTCAAGCGTGCTCGTATTAAGGACGAGTCGCGTGCACGCACGATAAAAAAAAGGAAGCAAATAAATCCCACCGCTTTGACGTTTGACAATGAAAAAGTACTAGCTTTGAGTGCACTCGACACACGCATTGCAACTTGCAACGCGACGCGTGTAACTAATAACATTGCTGTTGTAACAGTATCTCTGGGAAAAAAAATTTTCTATATATATACCGGGGCACTTGAAATTACTATCTCGATTTACTCTAAAATTACGATCTGCAACAAGAGAAGCATAGTTTAAAAGATAAAATATTATTAATTTAGGACAAGAGCGAGCTTACATTATATCTGCATTGAAAACATTTCTGGTTGAAAATGGATAAATCAGAATTTTCTGGTTAAATTTCACAAAATTCTAGTTGAGATAACCGGAATTCTGATTTATACAATATTTCTGGTAAAATCTAAAAAATTCTTATTTTTACTAGAATAATTATAACAATTACAGAATTCTAGCTATCTCAACTAGAATTCAAGTAGATTTAATCAGAAAATTCTGATTCGTCCATTTTCCACCAGAATTACTATTTAATCCATCCAGATCATTTTTCTCAGTGTGTCTGATGCATCTCTCTCTCTCTCTCTCTCTCTCTCTCTCTCTCTCTCTCTCTCTCTCTCGTTAATTCTAAGCAGAATCGTAAGACTCGTAACGTGTTCTCGTAAAACTTGTAAGAACTTATGACTAGTATTCTAATTTTATGCGCGTGTATCGTAAGATGTACGATTATTCGTAAATATCTACGATTTTTTGTAAATTTTATGGCTAGTAAGAAGCTGTCTGTAAAAATATTGTATAAAGGTATCAGCACTTAAAAATTCTATCAAGTCTTACAAGAATATGTTACGAGCCTTATGATTCTGTTTAGAATTTTAAGTATTAATCTGCAAATTAACTAGTAATTAGCGGCGTCTCGATATTCTTCTTTTCTTTCTTCGAATTTGTCTTTGATATTTCTTACGTTAATTGTGAATCATACAATTGTTAATATACATATATGTATAAATTGTGCCGAAATGAAGAGATGTTTGATTTGTATAACTTAATTATTCTTGTGAGCGTTACAATAATTATAGATTGGGCATTGCTTATTTTATTTAATTAAAATAAAATGCGGGGAATGTGCGGCTGGTGTGAAAAAATGTCAAGAGCCACTCTCGCGAGTATTGATCCCACGTGTCCAGCTTGTTTTGCGAAATTTATACACTCGTAATATTAAGGTTTATATATGATATGAAGTTTGTTGGTCACGAAGAGCATTCGCGTTC